ATTACAGTCAAAGTAATTGATTGAAATTACGAATCAACTTTTTTTCTTTTTTGTTTATTACCATAAATGAATTCTGTATTCAATTCTATCAAATATTTTGACTATAATCCTTACATCATTCAGAAGCGTTAATCTTTATTTTTTACAATCTCTTAATAGATAATACCATAACACAGAAGGTGTACAATATACTCTAAGTCACTCACCATGTAGCCTCTATAGCCTAACATGGTGTAAAACACCCACTGCCATTTTATCATTTCTGAAGAGCCCATACATATTCTGAAACTGGGATTGCTAACCCTCACCATAAATTACCATATTTAACTATGTTAAACTACATGTCTAGAGTTTTCTAACGGCATATTATAAGTCTCGATTAGATCCGTATAACTCAAGATATGTTTGTCGCGAGCCAACTACTTTAAACTGAATTTTTGGAAATAGGGCAGCGACATCAAATCAAAACCGTTTTACAGCCCAGAAAATTCTGAAATTTGAATAATAAAAACTAGACTTATGGGACTTTAATTTGATATATAATATGCCCTGATTGGTTAAGGCACGAAGGAGTTATAAAATTCGCAAGGTAACTACTTTGAACCGAACTTCCGGAATTGATGCCACAACTTCCAAATGGAACTGGGATCAAATACCTTAGCTAATGGCTCTAAGAATTCACAGGGTTGTAGCTCTAAGTGTTAGCTTAACACAAGTCCTAAACTTACTTAATTTGGAGCTCTATACCTCAAGTTATGGTCATTTTACTACACTTGTTCGTTGTCTCGCCCAGATATCTAGATATTCATCTGGGACATATCCAGATATTGGTCATGAAATATCATGATATCTCATCACAATGGCCAAAGTACACTGTCTAGCTTCGATTTAGGGTCTAAAGGCCAACCCTTTGTCATATAGACTCACCAACTTAAACCTAATTGACATTTTATCATCTCTCATGCAATATAATAGCCATTTCAAGGCTTTAATCTATGATCCATCCATGGGCCCATTAAATTCATCTTCTAAACATACTTGTCATCATATCCATATTCCCTCAAGTGTTAACCTCATGCATTATGCCTCATGGCTTGTATTCCTCAAATTTCATTACTAATGTCTCAAGTTACATCATTAACTTATACATACACAACTTTTCATCATTAACAATTTATTATCTAATATTTACTTGGTTAAATCCTAATGTCTTAGTTCTTTAATCCTTTAATCTAATTGGAATCATAATGTCTTAGAAACTCCTTTAAGATTAAGCCTTAAGCATGCTGAATTATAAGTTTGCAATTCCTACAAGTCTATGTCTAGATCATGCAAGAATTGATATTTACCCCTATCAGAATTAAAATCCTAATATATCTATTGTGAACCCTAACCCTCAAATCCCTATATGAGTAATCAAGTCATACAAGAATGCATAAAATTATTCCAAGGTAAAACATAAACAATTTGAGACAACTTATTAAAGAAACAATTTAAACCAAACAGGGATTCACGTTGGATCTATAACCCTAACTATAAAAGAAACTTAGATATAGCCGACTTAAATAAAACAAAGAAAAAAGAAGAAGTAGAAGAAGTCATGAAGAAGAAGAAGAAGAAGAAGAAGAAGAAAAGAAATCAATGTTGCCCAATTCTTCAAGTCTTCTCTTTCTGAAATTCTCCAATTTCCAGCAAAAGCTCTTCTCTTTCTGAATGTGCCAGCCTCTTTCCGTTTCAAAGAGTTATCTTTTTATAGTGATGAAATCATATCTTTTAATTTTCTATAATATCTTCAATGGAATCTTCACTAGAATCTCCAATCATATCTTTAATCAAATTTTTAAAATCTCCCAATTTTACATTTAAATGAAAACTTTCCTTAAAAATATTCAAGAGGATATTCAATAAAATTTTCAATCAATTATATGATTCAGAAATCCCAAAACAACACTTGAGCTCTCCAATTTATTTTTTTATTGAGCTAAAATTACTGCAAAATATAAGAATTTTTATGAGAATATTACTGAGCATAAAATAACACTTTAATTACAATTCTCATATCTTTTAATTATTTGTAAATCAATTTCATGCTCATATTAACAGTTAATACATAATAAATTGGAGATACATCACAAATGTTCGAAAAATGGGAATCAGAGCTTCAGTTGATGAGAAACAAATTGTGAGACAAGAAGCATTGAACACTGTACAAGGGATACAATGGAGAGTGAGGGAGGCAAAGAAGTGAAGAGCCATACCAAGCAATAGAAGATTTTGTGTTAAGAACCTTGAGGTCATCACCCCAAAAGCTAGCTCAAAGGGTGGAGTGCTCAAGGCCTTATAAACCTCACATTAGTTGTCATACAATCAATGTAGGACTATATTTCTCAACACGTCCCCTCACACGAGAGCCCACTGGACTTGAAGGGTGGACAACATACAAGCCCACCTACATCTGGAAATTCCATTAGACAGTGAGATTTCGGACGTTCTGATATCATGTTAAGAACCTTGAGGTCACCACCCCAAAAGCTAGCTCAAAGGGTGGAAGTGCTCAAGGCCTTATAAACCTCACATTAGTTGCCCATACAACCAATGTGAGACTATATTTCTCGCTGCAAGAGCTGCTGGTGAGGGGTGGAAGTTCTCATAAAAATATTACAGAATTTGTGAATAGCTTGTTTCATTTACCAGCAACAAGAACTGAATCACAAATTACTACTTGATAAACCAAACACTTGTTATTTATTGTTTACAATTTGTTTGGGGTTTAATAAATTTGTAAAAAAGAAAGTTATAACTCTAAAAGTTATAAAACTTTTTTATGAAAATGCATACATTTTGATGTCTAAATAATTGTAAATCTAGAGTGTTTGTAACTTGTTTGGTGTAAACACTAAATAATTATGAATATGGATGGACATTCTCAGTGGCGGAGCCACGTTGAGACCAACCGGTGCTTTGGCACGGGTTTGGTTTTGATCACGCTCCTACAGAACTATTGTCCATGTAATCTGGAAGGGGAAAATGAGAGAAATTCACTCTTGGCACTGGCTTGGATATTTGTCACCCTGTTGGTGCCTTGATGGTTCGGTGGCGATGGGGGATCTCGCCAGCAGATTTGAGGTTGGAGAAGAAGAAGGATTTGATGGAGGATAGATGTGCTGCGCGACCACAAGCCTCTTTGACTCTTTCTCCGACTTCAAAAACTGTAAGCCGCCTTGGATAATGCATAAATCCTACGAACACTTGTCCCTCTTATCACTTTTGTTTTTAGAGTTACTAGTGTATTATCGTATCGAGAATTTGTTTGAGGTGGTATTGCACATACGCGGTTTGGTTTGTTTATCTGTTGTGTCTTCGTTTCAGGGTTTTCTGTATTGGGTGCCATGCCATGAAGGTCTTGTGGTTGCAGGTAAGAATTTGAATAGAGAATATATAAATCATAGGTTTAAAAATAATTTTTCTCTTACATTATTTTTTTGCACTTTTATTCTAGGGGCAGGTTATATTTACAAACTTTTTTATTTACAAACTCTTACAAACTACACTAAGTAGGACTGGTCCTACATTAATCACACATTAATGTAGGACCAGTCCTACTTAGTGTAATTGCAAAAAAAAAATTGTAAACGGATCGTGTCCTTTTATTCTATATCTATCTTTACTTAAAAAAATAAAAATTCGCTAAGTACGAAATAAAGATATAAAAATGTAAAATATAAGAATAACATTGTTAAAAGTATAATATCTTATATTAAAAATGAATGTGAACAATATGTGAAATACGTCAAATTAGATGCTGAAAAGGATAACGAGTCAGTACATAATGATTCTTTCTTTTGGGGTTAGCCATGAGCTACACCACAGATAGATAGCCGGCCACCATTTCCTTTCCCGCCTTCTTCCTCTCCTCTCATCATTTCCTAAAATTTTGTCTGGCTCCGCCACCGGATTTTTAAGTTCTTTTTTTGGAATGGCTGCTCTGCTTTTGCTCTGTACATGATATAAAAAAATATAAATAAAGATAAAAATGTTAAACTATATCTCACACCATTACATGTAATTAGGGTAAGTATTTTTATGAATTTGAAATGATAGTGGAAAATCCATAAAAAATTGCAGCGATTTGAAGAAATAGTAGAAAATTAATTAAAATAAAAATAAGAAAATAAAAACATCTATAGGATTTACTTTTCTTATTTTATATGATGAAAGTTTTGCATCCTGCATTCATAAATTCGTATGGGTCCCATGGCTTAAAAAAAAGAAAGAATAATCAATGGTTGTGCGTGAAATTTTTTTCTTCTCCACCAACCTTATACTTACATTTACCAAAAATAAATTATGATGAACAAGTTTTCAAAACCATCAAATAAACAATAGATAACCAAACAAGTTTTATTTTAGGTTGGGGTTCGTTTTTCTGCAGTTACTGCAGATAAGTTATCTGCAGTAAGCTCAATATGACATCGTTTTGGGACAGAAATCATGATATTTCTGTAATTTTAATTTATTTTAAGGTTATAATAGTCTTTATATTTATAATTTTTTAAGATTTCAATACCAAAACGACGCATTTTGGGAATAAATGCAGATAACTTATCTGCATTAACTGCAAAAACATTTTTTCCTTTTATGTTTTAGTTTATGAAGATTTTTTTTTTCAAAACAAAGGCATTGGTTCATTATAACCGTTCAATGAACCTTCAATGAAAAGCTAAACTTTTATTGAGAAAGCAACTGAAAAATATAATAGGATACAATAATTGGAGCAAGCATAAACTGAAAGATAAAATACAACATAAAACTCTGTTAAAAAAAATTACAACATAAAACAATAAAGGAAGGCCCACAAGCAAGAAATAAAGCCAAGGACAATCAGAAATGCGAAGGAAAGCAGGTAAATTATGACGCACCACGTGCCATTTTACAATGTTCCAATAATGTAACATGCATCATTGCAATGGAGCACCACAGTGAACCCCAACAATTAGTCATCAAGAAATAATTTGTGGTTCATTGCATGTTGGTAGTAAATGGAACAAGCTATTCACAAATTCCTCAACGTTTTTTTGAGAACTTCCATCCTTACCAACAGCTCCTGCAGCCAAAGTCTTCCATTGCATGGCATTGCTCTTTAATTCTTTGCCTCTCTCACTCTCCATTATTTCGCTTATACAATGCTTCAATACTTCTTGTCTCACAATCCTTTTCTCATCTACTGAAGCTCTGATTCCAGTTTTCCAGACATCCACAATTTGTTTTGCATTGGTGCTCTGATCTGACCAATTTGGCATTGTAACCATTGGAACTCCTAAGCTCAAAGCTTCCAATGTAGAGTTCCAGCCACAATGTGTTACAAAGCACCCTACAGCCTCATGAGCTAAAACTTTCAGTTGTGAGCACCAAGTCACTATCAAGCCCTTCTCAGACTTCTTTTCAAAATCTTTGGGGAGTTTAGTCTCTTCAGAGGCTCTCACCACCCATAAGAAATAACTTCCACTATCTCTCAAACCAAAGGCTAATTCCTCTATTTGCTCCTCATCGAGTTCTGCCATGGACCCGAAAGAAACATAAACAACAGACCATTTTGGCTTGTCATCTAACCATTTCATGCATTCTTCACTCTTGAATTGCGCAACACCATAATCTTGGTCATCTTTAAGTCGCTTGTCCAAAAACATAGATGGTATGGATGGTCCTATGGTCCTAAATTTGGACCAAATCTTCATTGTCCAATCAGCTACCTACAAGCAATTTTGCGTCAAAAAATATTATTGAAAAAAAAAACATAAGAAAATATGAAGGAGTTATGCGGGTGGGTGTGTGAGCCTAATGGTGTGTTACAAGGGCAAAAAAAAAATGTAGATATGGGTTTTTTAATAAATATTTACGATAACAAAATTATTTTAAATGTAAATACAAATTTATAGTACTCAAACACGCTCCACAGAAGGCGTGACCGGTTGAAAAGAGACACTTCCCACATGTGGCGTGTTTCATGAGAGAGACACTCCCCACAAGGGGTGTGACTCACAAGGTGCTGACACGTGACACAAAAAATCAACAGTTTGACCGTAAAACTTTGAAAGTATATAACTTTTGGCTCAGGTTAGGTAATTTTTTTTATTCAACACCACTTTTCGAGATCTACACAATGAGATCTTATTAAAGGGGATTTGGTGAATTTTTTTTCAAAATTTTGGATATTTTATGGTTAAACTTCGGAAGACCGTTACTTTGATATCGGGTGCATGAATCAAGCCTTTTTTTTTTATTCCACATAACATTTTGAGACAAACGTGTTGGCAAGTCCCAAAGGGGACTTGGTCGCATTTTTTTTCTTCAAAAAATGCTTCCTTGTGCTTCGTTTTGTATATTTTATATCTGTTAGTGTGAACGAAGTTATTTAAATTGAAGTTTCGTTTCGCATAAATATAATTTCAATTTGACACAATGGTTCCATAATCATAAGGATCTTTACTAGGAATGTTTTTAATCATGACAATAGTTTTCTCTTTATTATTCTAGGTTTAAACGTTCTTATAGTATTATTATTGTAAATTCGAACTTTTTTGTGAGAGACTAAATATGTCAAATGAGATGTCATTACGTAGATCTCAAAAAAATTGTGTGGAATAAATTTTTTTTACCTAAGTCGGACACCTGAGTCAAAAGTTATAGATTTTCAAAGTTTTACAGTCAAACCGTTGATTTTTTGTGCAACGTGTCAGCACCCGGTGAGTCACGCCCCTTGTGAGGAGTGTCTCTCTCATCAAACATACCCCCATGTGAGGAGTGTCTCTCTTCAACCGGTTACGTCCTCTGTGGGACTTGTTTGAGTACTATACATTTATATTTTCATTTAAAATGATTATGTTTTTGTAAATATTTATTAAAAAAAATAATATTTAATTTTTTTTTTCCCTGTTGCAAGACTTAGCTATTTACCTCTTTTTCCATCTCGTAGAATGCATTGCAGAGGATCCAATCAGCTTTGTCAATGTTGGAGAATTGGCCCACTGCATAATCAAACAAAGCTCGATTATCTTCATCTGTAAAAAGGAAGAAAGAAGGCAAGTCCCCAAGTTGAAGTTTAGGCAATGCAGGAAGGTTAATCTCATTTTCTGTGAGGGGAACTCGAAGCATTCCTTGTTGAACATGGTAGTATATACTATTGACAGACAAATTTTGAGTGAGGAAAACAGCACCAATTATACCAAATCTCCGTGCAACTTCTAGAGCCCAAGGCATGAATGAATTATAAATAACACAATCAACATGATCACTTGATCTATCAAGTTTCTCTAGAAGTTCAGCAAGAGTCTCTGGCCCTACTTGCCAAAAACGTTCCAAATAGGCCTTGTAGCACCCTGCTTCTGCAAACCCACCATTGTCAAAACCATCAGAGATGGTTTCAAGTGCAATTGAAGAAGGTATGTTCTGCATGTTCTTGCAGAAGGAACTGGCGGTGACCAGTGTTACTCTCACCCCTTCATGTTGCAAAATCTTTGAGAACTGAAGCATGGGATTAATGTGGCCTTGAGCTGGATATGCTAAGACCAAACAGTGCACTCTTCTAGCTACGTTTTTCTTCTCCATTTCTTTGATAAACTCTCTCTTAACTCTCTTAGTCTTATACATAGCAAATGTACACGGAAATTTTTACGACTTGTTAGACAACTGTTGACGTGTGATCATTTATTAAAGGACCTAAATCATTTGACTTTTGTTATGATAGTTGTTCCTTGTCCTTGTGTGAAGAAAGGGTCACAAATACGGAAAAATTTTAAATACCATCGCAGTAGGTAGATCCAACGGCGGAGCCAGGATTGTTAATTGGGGGGAATTTTTTTTTTCTACATCAACATGTAATAAATATTCAGAAATTTAATACCATCAAATATAGATTTTGTTCACTCAATTTTTTCATCCAAAAAATGCAAAGTTTATTGAATAAAACACTAAATCTAGAGTAACCGTTAGAATTGATCTAGTGAGGGATTTTGGTAGGTTAGATTATGTGTTCAATTCCACTTGTATCCAAAAAAATGATCAAGATGATGCTTTAAAAAAAAAATAAGAAATATAAATTTTAGTACTATATACTCTTGTTACGTAGCAGGGCTAGGACAAAAGAAAACACATATAATAACCACCCTCACACACCACAGAATTGACCTATGTAGCACCGATACGACACGCGACACATGACACGACATGACATGACACTCCGACACGTCAATCTTAAAAAATTATGAATTTCGACACGTTGGGACACGTTTTAATATTAAATAATATTTTTAATTTATATAGTGTATATTTCATTTACTATTTAATAATTTAACAAAAAAATGAAACTAAATTAATAATACCCATCAACATGTTATAAAGATAGAAGCTTTAATAAAAAAAATAAGAACTGGGATGAGAGAGATATAATATCAGATAGAGAGATCAAATCATATTAGAGAGATCAGAGAGAAGAAGATACAACAAGAGAGTGATAGGAATTTACAACAATGATGCTGAGATGATCTCTTATCTACTTAAGGGGAAAAAATACAAAAGATAAAATTGATATGATCAGGTGGAAGCTTTATTAATATATTTTAACTTTTTAAAAAAATAAATTTTTTTAAAAAAAATTAAATTTTTTTTACGAAAATGCTATTTGACCGTGTCGGACACGGTCAAATTCGCGTGTCGGAATGATCAACGTGTCAGAAAAAGTCAACCGCGTGTCCGACACCGTGTCGGAGCGTGTGGGACCCGACTCTTCCTGTTTTTACAAGTGTTCGTGCTTCCTTGGAATTGACAATGGTAATAGTAATAAGAGAGAGAGAGTAAAACAACCTTAACAAGATATACAATAAGGGAAATCATACTCTTATGATGCATGAAATTGATCTCTCATGTTACCCTCATTTTGAAAAATGTGCCTCTTTTTGTTCTTTTTTCTAAAAATTGGTGGAATCTACGTTATTTGTCTCTTAACATGAGAGAACTTCTCTCATACTACATGAGAGAAGTAATCACATACAATAATCTCATGGTTTATTTTATTACAAGGTAAAATACACAGGCATATTGCCATGGTAGAATTAATGTTGCTAAGTACGAAGCAACAAACAAAGAAGGGATAGTATAAAACTATTACACAAAATACAAAAAGCATAAAATTCAAACGTAAAGTTACGCATAGTTATTAGTATATACGGACTATACATACATAGCCCTTATAATAATATATATTTACTAAAATCAGTGCTTTCAGAAGAAGCTTTCAATATTCTAGTCTCCATACCCATACCATACCCTCTACCAAAACGATCTTCATGCTCATTCCCATACATACTTCCAAAACATTCATCTCCATAACCACAACCAGAACATTTTAAAAAATCATTAAAAAAAAATCATCAAATTCTAAGGGGTTGGTCGCCAACCCCTAGCCCCCTCCCTCCGCCTTTGCAACTTTGCAACCAACGGAAGCGTGCTACGTCAGCATATGTTGTAGTGTAAAATACATTGTTATACCTAATTTTCAATAGCACCATCTTACTCAAAATGCACTCCACAAATACGGAAATTAAAGATTGTTCAGAGACATTGAATTATGTGACTAACAACACGTACGGTTTAGTTTAAATATTAGCCATAGAAATTTATACTAATTTTTGTACTCAGTGTCATATGTTATTGAATCACTGATTCGACTAAACCTATTCATATTTCATTGTAATTGTTTAAAATATTATGAGAAATTTTCAAAAATATTTCCATGATTTTATTTTGAATCACTTATATCTTGAGACATTGATCGCTTTGCTTTTACATAAAATATACCCAAATGCTATGGATTTCAAATATTTTTTCAAACTAACACGATATCATAGTAGTTAAGTGATGTAGTGACTATAAAAGGGACACATACCGCATTTTCAATTATGTGTAAAACCTCGAAGGCCTGAATAGACGAAAGTCATTACATAAAATAACAATTTTGGTGTATAGGGATGAGTTTTATTTATTTAATCATAATCGCTGAGTGATTAAACTACTTTGGCTATTTATAAAATTATTTTTTATTCCTTGCACCAAATCACTAGACAAGGAAGCGACTATGACCTATTTTTTGTTTGGTCCGTGTGGATGACACTTGCCATATTGGCGTAGAAATCTCATTTATGAATTATGGTCACAACCTCTCTCTCTCTTCCTCTCTAGAAGAATAGACTGGCATTGTTGGTGTAGTGGGTTGTTTATTGTTGTGGCTCACACTCATACACGAACTGACAGTGTAATTAGTGTGTGAGAGAGAAAGCGAGAATGTGCGCGTGGGTGAACATGAAAATCTGTCACTCGTCCCTTCTCACACACTGTTCTGTCCCTTCTCACACACTGTTCTGTTTCAGTTTCAATAAATATCGGAAATGCATGTTGTGAGTAAAGACATGACATGATTATGTGAGAAAATTACAATCATACAAAGTTAAATGAATGATTATGATTTTGTAACTACTTATTTTATTATTTTTTCTCTCCTATCCATCTTTGTATGGTTATGATTTTCAACTTTACACTGTCATGTGAATTTGAACATCAGAGGATCCGGATCCATAAATATCAGCTTCATTCTTTTACCATCCAACGGGCACTTTTCTTCCACGTGTCATGTCATCAGCTTTTGCTCATTTCGTCCTTGCACCGGAAATGCTAATATGCTCGATCACTCACAAGTACCCGTGTCTCTCGTTCTATCTAACACCGCTCATTTCCTCGTCCAGCGAGTATGGTCCATCACCCGTGTCTCTCGTTCTACATTACTCAGCAATTATAAAAAATAATTTTGTAGATGGCCTAAGTAGCTACGTTACTCAACGACCATGGCTATATCACTCAGCGACTATTGTCAAATGGATGGCATTTGTCCTGTTCATCGTCGTTACATCATTCAAAGATTATGGTGCTGTGACGATTTGAAAAAATATTTAGAATTCATGATATTCAGGTATATTTTATGAAAAAACAATGTCCCCTTATATCTTTATACTTTTCTTTAAGGGTTCGCTTTTTCTGCAGTTACTGTAGATAAGTTATTTGCAGTAAACCCAATACGACGTCGTTTTGGGGCGGAAATAATGGTGTTTTTGTAATTTTAATTTATTTCAGGTTTATAATAGTCTTTATATTTATAATTTTTTAAGATTTCAATATCAAAACGACGTCGTTTTGGGAATAAATGTAGATAACTTATCTGCATTAACTGCAGAAACATTTTTCCCTTTCTTTAATCACTTATCCTTTATGTTTTTTTTCGTCCACACGTTTCTCTAATACTGTTAAAAATTTACTAAATATGCATACTTTACCTTTCCTAGAAAAAGAAAATAGAATGATAAAAAAGAAAAACAAATATAAGAACAAGTGTTATAAAACCTTAAAATATTTAATAAAAGACTAAAAGAAAAAAAATAGAAGAAAAAGAATATTAAATATATCTAAATAAAAAAAAGAAAATAGATTAATGATAAAATAAATAGAAGAAAAAAATAAGACCAAATATATTAAAAAATCACAACAATGACAAAAAAGACTAAAATTAAAATAGTCTAAATGAAAAAAAAATACCGAAGACAAAAAAACTAAAAGAATAATTAAGATAAAATAAAAAATAAAAAATCACTTTTGTAAGTTTTCAATATATTTGATTTGATTTTTTATTTTTTATCCTTGATCTATTTTATTCTTCTTATTTGATAAGTTTAATCTTTTTTCTTTCTTTTTTTCACTTTTTTGGTTTTTTACCAGTGATGAAAGAAAAAGAAGAAAAATAAGATAAAATCTAAATAAAAGAAAAAAAAATATGTTTTGTAAACTTTCAACATATTTGATCTTATTTTTTTCTATGTTTTTGCTCAGCATATTTTATTCTTTTTTATATAGGCATATTTGATCTTATTTTTTCTTTTAATTTTTTTTGTATTCGGTCTATTTTTTTTTATTCAGATTATTTTTTTTCCTTATAGTGTTTTTGTCACTATTGTGATTTTTTAACATATTTGGTCTTATTTTTTCTTCTATTTTTTTGTCCTTAATCTATTTTTTTTTATTTAGATACATTTGATATTTTTTTCTATTTTTTTCTTTTAGTCATTAATGTAAGTTTTCTAAGTTTTCATAACATTTGATTTTATTATTTTTCTTTTTTATCACCCTGTTTTCTTATTCTAAGAAGGGTAAAGTAAGTATATTAGTGTTTATAAAAAATAAATAAAAAAGTAAGTATATTAGTTAAGTTTCTAACAGTGTTAAGAAATGATGTGGATGGAAAAAATCTTAGGGAGCTAAGTGATTAAAAAAAAAGTATAAGAATATAAGTGACTCAAAGCAATACTATAGGATGGTTTTTAAATTTTTTCCAAATATTAATTATTTAAAATGCGGCAGTTGTCAGTCGAACTGCATAATAGAAAATTGCTCCTGCATGTGAAAGTTTGTTGGCTTTTGGAGTTGTTTAGATTTGTCTAATGTTGATATATTGAATGTTTTTCTTCTTCTTCTAATTAACTGATAAAAGTTTTTTTCTTGAGACTTTG